AGATGCTCTCTCTTTTTCTTAGGTTTTTATAAATTTTGATGCTCGTCTCCAGACTCCGCACGCTCCTCCGGTCTTCGCATGACAGCCGTTCAGCTTTGCAATGCACTGCAATGCCAATGGCTAGCTAACGGTGAGTCTTCTACCATTGTCGCTAACCGTGTTGTCCGCTAGACATTCCTGATTTTTTTCGCGATAACTACCATTTGATTCGACTCCATTTTGCGAAAACGACACGATTGTATTATACAAAATTATTCTTATTTAACGAAATCGATGCTTTGCGTCGAATTTCGTCAAGGTTAATTTTCAATTCTTCTTTTTTTACTGAGCGTCTGGTCCTCACTCCCAGGCAGAGTAATGTAACGATACCTGCTTAGCGCCGGCAATTTTGTTGTTTTTTTAAGGTTCCCCGCAATAAAATTATTTGCAAACAGTAAAAGGTTTCGCGTGTAACCGTGGCAGACATATAAGTAAGATATTTTTAAATGTTACCGTCATTTTCATCCTTACGGACACTTAAAATGTTCGTGTGTGTGATACTTACCCAGTGACTATCGCTGGATCTCAATGGTCTGCAATGGCTGTGTATGAGGGAGCACAGGCGATACGCAGTGTCTTCAGTCTTCAGCTCTCTAACATTACTCTCGGCGGGGCTCGCACGCCATTGGACAGCGCCCAGTCTGGCGTCCCTGCGATTGGTCGAAGGCTTTTCATTGTCCTAATAGAAGACGAGGTTCCATTGGTTGTCTTTTGTGAAACGTCACCGAAGTTTTGTGAGGCGCGTGGATACAAAAATATTTCTGTCCGAGCATGCTGGAGCTGGTAGTAGTGTAGTGTGTTTGCCATAGTATTGAATTCACTACGTTGAGCTCAGTGTACAGTAGGCAAGCTAAATGAATGAGACATCGAGGAGCGCTTGTAGCCAGCGAACGAGGCGGCCGTAAAATGTTGTCAGATTGTGTTGGATGGGTTGTACGTCTCCTTATCAACAGGCTCCTTTGTGCATTCTGCACAATACACGTGAGCTTATTTGCAAATTATGTCTTTAAAAATGTATAGGGAGGACATCGCAAATTCCCGTGTAAAGGGCATAAAGAGCGATTACCCGTCCCATGCGTGATAGTTACGTCCAGATATGAAATTTTTAAAAAAGGATTTAGCTCTTAGTATGAATGAAAACCATAGGAATTCAATGATTTGCCTCCCTTGTGATCAGTGTATTAACCATTATTATCATTTATGCCCATGATCGACAGAAAGTCCCTGCATTGACACTACTAAACCGTGTTTTCTTATTCTCTCTGACAAGTATCCATAATTATTCGTTTTTTAAGCACTCATTCTGTGCTTTTGACTATGTTTACTTACGACCCAATATTAATAGTCGGATAAAATGGAGCTGGAGATAATAAATTATGGTAAATGTATTTAATGGGAAATTAATATTAAGATCTGTCAGTTAATGTTTTTCTACACAGTATGTTTTTTATCCTGATATTTCGAGGTCTCATATACATTGCCTGATTAGGAGATGGTCATGTGCTTATTGTTAATTAAGACTTATGAAGATCAAAGGGCGGCTGCTCAGTTTAAAGCAAAAGCAGTAAATGAGCATTTTGACTGACTTTATTCATTCAATTATTTATTTATTTTTGCCCTAAAAGATAGTGAGCTTTTACTTGGAATTTTAGATATAGTCCAACAGGTCTGCA